TTAATCAGAACTGGCTTTGACAAGCACTGTGGCATTTGGACAAGAACAAACTAGGAGGAGGGTAGAGAGAATAGTGCAACAATGAATAAATGGAAACCCAAAATATCTGTAAATGTTTATGAAAATTAATAAAATATAATTATAGAAAAAAAATTAAAAAAGAAAATAAAATCTCAGGTACATTAGATCCTTATGAGTAATTCAGGTAATTGCAGCACCTTCTCCATTTTTAGGACACATTACATTAAAAATAGAAACAACTAGGAGAATTTCCAAATGCTTTTTTCATTTAAGAGGAAATCAAATGTCATTGGCCAAATTGGCTTATTTTCTCATTCTACATCTCATTGAAAAATCATGTAGGGGAAACCACCCTTCGTCCCTGTCTTTGATTTGAGAATCACTGTACCTCCATGTAGTTCTCCAAGTTTCTCTTTGACCAGAGACTCCTTTTTTATATATATATTTACTTTTCACAAAAAGTGTATAATTATCTAACATCACAACAAATTAGTCTATTACTGTAGCATCAGGATCTAGAAGCTTTTACTACTTTTTTCTTTTCTTATCATGCCTGCTAAGAGTTGAATATTATACTCAGCACTTTGTAGAATCTAGCAGTTTTAAAATATTTTGAATAAAATAAAATTTATATGTGACAATTGAAATAAGAATATAGGAGGCCAGTCCTACTGTGTATTTATACCATCTGTAAATTCAGTAATTGAAATTCTTTCCATATCAAGTAAGAAGAACTAGTTGCTACATGAGATGTTTCTCAACTTTTTTCCTAAACCTGCAGCTTTAAGCCAAAGCTGTGTGTTCAGAGCAGTCCTAAAATTGTCAAGAAGTAAGCTGGCCATTATTCACCATCTCAAGAACATGGAAACAGCCCAAATGTCCAACCACAGTCAAATGGCTTGAGCAATCATGGTACATTCACATGATGGAATACTACAGAGCAAGGACTTTGAAAATCACTACCTAAACTTGAGAGGAACTGGAGAGCATTATGCTATTTTAACTAAATCAGTACATAAGGACAAATACGGTGTAAGATCACTGTTATAGAAATACAGAGATAACTTCTAAAACATGTATGAGGATCCAAGGGGGGCAGGGTAGAAGCAGAGGGGTGAGAATGGGGGTAGTAATCATAGGGTCGCACAATTTGATGGGTAGAGGGAGGGATGGATAAAGAAAATGGGAATAATCCAGTGTGAAAATCAATGTATAGGAACTTTGTAAGTAAACCAGTATAAAGTAAAAATTATATTGTTCTTTAAAAAAGAAGTAAGCTGGCAATACCCTGATGGAGTCAGTGCTGTTTAACCTTTGACAAAATGAGTTGTTTTTGTCAGGTGATATTATTTTACTTTTACTTTTTTTCAGAGATATGATCATAACAAAAATGATAAGATCCTTCCAATCAGTCTTGAACCCTCCTCAAGCACCGAGCCTACTCAGTCTAACCTAAGGTAAGGTGATATACTATAGACAGAGACATTTATTCTAGGAGTCATTTCCTCATTTCAATCCTCATTATATCCTAAATCATCAGACTCTTAATTTAGAATAGAAAATAACTTTTGACTTGTAGAATAATGAGGTCAATTAATGTCCAAATTAATAGATTTCTTCTATTCTCCCTAAAGGGAGCTCTGGTGGGTGAAGGGTTGTGCTGTCAATCCAAAGGAAAGCAGTTCAGGTCCACCAGCTGTTCAAGGGAGAAAGATGGACAGTCTCCTCCCATGCAGTTGACTGCCTCTGAAAACCCTCTGGAAGGTCAGCTGTCATTCGATTCCAACTCAATGGCAATGAAGGATTTTTTGGTGGGGAACTTTTTTTTTAATTCCCCCTAAGCTAGTGTGCTCTTCTTTTATAATATTTGTTCAGTCTGAAATACTGAGTGTAGCCACCATGCGCTAAGTACTTGGCCCTGGGAATGCTGTGATAATACAGTCTTTCTCCTAAAACCAATTATTTTAATAACACCTTAGATTTCTTTTGTATTTGTCATTATGTCCTTATTCTTCCTCAACTCCTAAGTTATTTTTGTAGTTTTGTAGAAGTGTAGTTTGCAGAAGTTTAATTCTGTGTACCATTTCAGCAGCTATTGCAGTTTGGTTCCTGTATGGGCAAATTGTGAGTTATTTCTTTGGAGATAATTTGAAACCAAATGACTAAGAGAAGAAGAGGTGAAGTAAATGGCTAGGCAGAAGTAGAGGTTATTTTCTTTGTAGCCTGTGGAGAAATTTTAACAATATCAGTTTAGCTAGGATTTGTTGAGCTAATTATGAAGCAGCATTGTGCTAAATACTTTACAGGCAGTATGCCATTTAATTTTCATAAAAATTCTAGCAAAAGAACTATTATGCTTATTTTTAACTCAAACTTATTGCTTTTGAGTTAGTTCCAATTCACAAAGACCCTCCAGCCAGGTCCAAGCCTGTCATTTTTAACAGGAAGAGATTCCCCATCATTCTCCGTCCACGGGAGTCACTGGTGTATTTGAACCACAAGAGACACACAGCCTTTACATTAGTAGCATTGACTCGACTATACCACCAGAGATTCTCAGGCTCATTATACATATATGACAACTGAAGCTTACAAAGGTGAAATATCTCCCCCAAGATCATGCAGCTGGCAAATAGCAGAGTTGACACTCAAAACCAGGTTTGTCTTTTACTTTTTAAAGTTAAAAAACTTCAGGCTGTTCCAAAGCCTTGATTTTTGTTATCTTACAGTTTAGGAGGCTAGGCATACCAATTCAGAGATGCTGGCTCTACAGGCAGGCATTCTCTATTCTAGAAAGAGGGGCTTGTTTCTTTTAAGCCCAATATTCTTTGAAGATCTCCATATATCTAGGCCTTCACCTATGTGAAGGATCCTAACTCAGGGCCATAGATCTAAAAGATGTACTCTCTTTGCTCCCATCTCTCTGAGCTCCCAGCCCTCTGTGCTCCCTGCTCTCTGGCCCCAGTGCTCTCTGCTCTCATCTCTTGTTCTTGTAATGCTGAGGTCTCTCTCTGCTTACGTTTTCTCTTGTGAGATAAAAAAATATTAATAGGCCACACCCTTCACATCAAAGCTGTGGCCTAATTAAGAGTATTACATCTCTACCTAATCCCTTTACAACTGATAAGTTGATCACATCTTTGATCACTTGGAGAATGACTACATCACTACATAACTGTCTCTAATCCTGTCTCATTAACATTGAAGTTAGGATTTAAAACACATTGGATAACTACATTATACTAAAAATCAGAGCCTAGCCAAATGTTTTAGACAAGCACAATTCAATCCCTAACAAGGCTGTTCCAGGGAGATGCAAAGAAGCCTCAGATAGTACCCAGGAATCAGAAACCAACACTTAGTAATAGAGTAAGGACCTATTTGGATGGAGGACCAAAAAGACAGGAAAAGTACCGTTCTTCTGTATTATCTTTACCAAAGCAAAATAGATTTGTAAACATCTCACTAAACCAGCAGACAAGTAAGTCCCTAGGTGGCGCAAATTGTTTGTTCCTAACAACTAACGTGAGGGTTGTGGTTTGAGCCAGACATACCATCTCATGAAAGAAATGTATCTGTAAAAATTACATCCAAGTGCAACAATGAATGTATGGGGGGAGAAATTAAATGGAAAGAATATGCTGTAAAAAATATATCACAAGAGTCCACAATTAAGGTTGCATAGTGGAATGTACTTGGGGCGGTGGGAGGGGTGCGGGGGGTATTGTGTACCAGGGAGGGAGTCTTTCTTTTACTTTTGAAAGAGAGGAGCCAACTGGGGGCCGGGGGGAGAGGGCTGGGTGGGTAGAGAAGTGCAGCAATGAATGAATGGAAATCCAGATTTTCTGTAAATGTTCATTAAAATTATTTTTTAAAAAATTAATTAAAAATTGCAAAAGAATATTACACCCAAGTGCTCGCTTTGGCAGCACATATACTAAAATTGGAACAGTACAGAGAAGATTATCATGGCTCCTGCATAGGGATGACACACAAATTCGTGGTCTATTATTTTTAAATGATGGCAGCCTAAATGGAGAAGAAAGCATCAGCTAACTCCTTTTGTCCTTTGTCTTTCCTCCATAATTTGTAACCAGCTCAAAGCTGAACATAATTTATATCTAATTTGAGCTCCTCTAGGTCTTAATTTTTAAGAAATAAATAAAATATTATTTATTAGCAAAAGAATTACTTTATTAGCAAAAAAAAATTACACTCAGCAGGTCTGTTCTGTATCACATGTGGTCACTGTGAATGAAACTTGACTAAAGATTCCATTTTGGTGTTTTTGTTTTGTTCTTTTAACCAAGGGAAAGGTAGCTCTAAAATGTTTTCAGGTGAGTCAGGAATGATAAAACTGGCAAATTGAAGTTAATTTTATAGTTACTAAGGGAGCTATGGAAGGAGGAGTGGCATCCACTTCCATAATAGCTTGCCTCCAGAAACCCTATGAACCTGGAGAGAGGATGAAAGGCACCCAAGCGTCGAGGACTCTCCTTCATAGGGTCATTATGAGTCGACTTGACGGCACTTAACAACAAGAACAACAAGGGAGCTATGATGGCCTGGTGGGTGAGGAGTTGCGCTGCCAGCTCCAAGGCTGGAGGTTCGAACCCACCAGCTGCTCCACAAAAGAAAGGAGAGCATTTTTCTCATGTGATTTACAGCCTCCGAAAGCCCATAGGAGGGGGTCAGCTTTAAGTCATTTCCAACTAAACGGCAATGAGTAACAAAAACAAATGCCATTTATTCTTCTAATTTTGTTCTACTTTTTTTATTTTATCCTAGAAAATTGGTGGAAAGAAAAGTAATAGATTCACTAGGAACTTAAGTCTACAGCTCCTTTTCCCCCCCCTAAGATTCAAACTTCCTTCATAGATTAGCCTCCCTGAGGTTTTCATAAATACAATAACTATTGAAAAAGGATGACAATCTTTATATTTATTGGTCATTATATTACAATTAGCATACCTCTGAGTACTTTCCACTTGTTTATCAGGTAACCTAGTGTTTTCCATTGATTTTTCAATCCCATTAACATCTATGCCTAATTAAGGAACGTGACTCGCACAGAATGATTGGCTGTCCAATTATTGAAAGGGATACTTAGCAGTATTTCAGTGTTCTTGTTCTTACAAATGCATTTTCTTGATTGCTGCTCATGTAAACTTATGGACATGTGCAGCAGATAGATCCCTTTTGAGACTCTAAAAGGCCATGTATGCACTGTCTTCCATGTATAAGTTTCTCCCTGAGTAAAGTACACTGGCAGTCATTAAGAATAGACAATAAAGGGAACCAGAAGCCAGGAAAGACCTTAATGCTTTGGATTCTGGTCCAGGGACAGCAGTGACTCTTAAATCTTCTGTAGTGTCTCCTCAAGCTTTCTCTCTAAGAGCTGCTTAACTTTGAACATGATAGAGGACTGAAAAAAAAGGCAAGGATTGATCAAATTAGAGTTAAATTCTCACTCTATATCTAGTTAGCTGTGTGAACCTTCAATAAATCATTACCTTTCTGCACTTGTTTCTTTATCTAGAAAATATAAGAACCCCAACCTTGTAAAATTATTCTGATGATTACAAAAAATACAAGTAAAATGCTGAGCATACATAGGACGTAGCTCATTATACACTTTCTGTAAATGATGACCCTTATTAACATATTTGTCCATAAGAAGACTATAGAATTTTTATAATATTTATTTCTGTTATTCTCTTATTCAGAAGGTGGTTCAGTGTAATGGATAATAGCATGGATCCTGGAGTTAGGTTATATTTAAATCTTAGCTTTACTCCTTCCTAGCTGTGTAACATTGGGCAGTTTAACCATTTGGTGTCTTGTTTCTATGACTGAAAAGTAAGAAAAGTAGCATATTCGTTTTTAAATGACTGCTGTCTGACAAGCACTAAGATACTAAATCATGTTTGTGTCTATGGATAAATGGTGCATGTGTGAGACTTCTAGTTAAAACTTCATAGATGCTTGAGATTTTTATCCCTTTTGGGAACTCAGAGCATTGGTTATCATTTTTCCCCCTTATAAGAATGTTTCACCATTTACATTTAAGTATCTTGTTGCTTCTTGGATTATGCATAAGAACCACAAGGAAGATGAAAAATGCACACATTTTCTAAATGTATCCAGACCAACTCTGATCCTCTGCTGTCTTTTTTCCAGTGTCACTGCAAAGATTAAAGCCATTGAAGCAAAGCTGAAAATGATGGCAGAAAATCCGGATGCAGAGTATCCAGCAGCACCTGTTTATTCTTACTTTAAGCCATCAGATAAAAAAAGGACTACTCCTTATTCTAGAACAGCTTGGAAATCTCGAAGATGATAGTTGTCAATTATTGGAGCAGCAAGAACAAATTGATCTTCACACCTGAAATCCTCTGCCTTTGTACTTTGTAGATATGAATGGGATCTCCAACAGAGCACAATCAGTGTTACAGTTTGGTAACAGTATTTTTTTTTATGAATGTTTCTTCTTTGAAGTATGTGCATAATTGAGCGTCATCCAGAATAAATAGGATTATATCCAAAATTGTGATTTTAACACTGGGATGCTTTAGTTGGCTGGTTTGTTTGGCTTTGTAACTCCAGAAACATTGTACAGTATGTATGCCAGAGGGAAAAGAAACAAAATGTTGTTATTTGAATCAGGAAACTGTTTATTAATATCTTTCTTTAAAAAACAAAAGTAAGTCATTTTTCTGTGCTCTGATGTTTTTCTAATATAAAGGAAAAGAGACAAAGAGGTAAGTCCACGACATATTTTAAATTATGTTCTGAACTATTGTTCCAGAATTTACCATGGAAACCCCTCCAAAAAAGAAGATAAATTTTTTGATAAAAGGTAGTTGATTCTTAGAGCAAACATGATATTCGTTTAAAAATCATGCTTATCATTGGAAATTCCCTATTAGGAAAACATGGTATCATGAAATTGCTTTATTGACAAAATTGTAAAATCAGATTTAGCATTTATTACTATAATGGAAGGTCAGTTTGGAAACTCAGTTTTTATTCTGTAGTGATTGTTCTTTTGGATTGGTTTTTGGGTTTTTTGGAGTTTTTTCCAATCTAAACAATCTTACCTTCTATAATACCAAATGTTGTTACTTATTTGGAACTTTTTAAATAGCACTTACTGCATGAGATTGTTTTTATAGCATGAGAATGTTCTATTTGGAATTGTACCATGATCAATCTAAATAGAAAAGTAAGATTTAAAAAAAAAAAACATTAAAGTTGCTATATTGATAGCTGTTAAAAATTAGTTCCTAATAATTGTGAAGGAGTCGGAGATTTTACTGTCTTGTGAGGGCTGGACACATGAAATGGGCACACGTCAGAAGAGCAGGCACTGTGCCGGTACCAAGATTTTAATGACCTCGTGATTTAATCCTTTAAAAGGCTAAAGAGTGCATGACTTTAAAATGATTACTAAAACATCTATAATTTTATTTTTTTGCTACTTTGGACATGATGAATATAACAATATAGAAAGCTAAATCAACAGATTTTTAAATGATCTTCAGTGGTGAGCACAGTTTGTATCATTTTGGTGCCAAGTTTGACAGACTTTTCACTGGGCAGCATCATTGTCCTTTACCACGTAAATCACTGTTACTCCTGCTGCCATTCTTGATGATGACGGACTGTTTACTACTAGTATTCCTAACAAGAGGAAGCTTTAATTAGAAGAAATTAAGTAAGTCTTCCTGTGAGCATAAGAATATGTTTAAGACACTTGAACCAAAACTTAAGCAAATTGAAGTTTCTTTAAGAATTCTTAGACTGGCTCAGAGAAATTCGTACTACTTTTCTCAAGATATTCTTAGATATCAAACACTTTTTGCATTTATCAGCTGTGTCAATAATATAAGTAGTTCTCCTTCCACATGGGAACTTGTTCAGGGAGGTAGGAACACTACCTCCCATTTTTCTGGTGACTTCTTGAAGTGTAGAATTCACCATTTTATCCTTAAATCCTCAGAGAGTTATGGTAGTGTAGGATTTACTTAATGCAAAATAGTCTTCTATTTTTATTAGAACTTTAGGAAAAACTTTTAATTATCTAGAGTTGTTTTCTTTAGAAACCAGATCTATTTATTTGTATTTAAAGCAATGTTTATTATTTGTACCAGTTCATATTCTTCTGTGTGAATAAATGCAAGACAGTGTCTGTGTGGTTGTGGTTTCTCATCATTTACTGGCATAAAGACTGTAGCTCTCTTGATAGGCCAAGGGACTGGGGCTGATGTATCTAGGTGAGGTACAGCTTCTACAGTCAATATTCTGTAGAGCTCTCTAACCAGAGGCCGCCTCAAGGGCAATTCTCATTTCCTCCACTGGTTATGCCTCCCAACTTCCATTATTAAGAGACTAGCTCATCTTACTGAAAATGTAAGTATTCAGGAGGTTGTTAATGGAAGACCCCAGAAGTGTACTATACACCATGTTGAGTCTCTCCAAGTAGAAGTTTCAAAAGAATAAATTTATTATTAAATCAATCTGATGAAAGGTTGTGAAATACAAGTGTTGATCAGATCTTTACTATCAAGTTATCTGTACTTTGGAGAAAATTATTCTATGCCTTGAGATTTTGTTATAATTATGTCACTTAATTCTGATTATAAGGGTGAAAATTTAAGGTAAATACTCAGGAGAAAGAATAAACTATTTCCTTAATCTCAATTCCTGTTTGAGTTTTATAACTCCCATCTAAGTATTGGAGAAAATACTTTTCAAAACATGTCAAAAATCAACCTCTAAAGCTTTATGCAATTGAATATTTTAGAGCTTACATAATTTCTCATTGGCAAATGTATTGGTGATTTTTTTATACTGTTAGAACAGGATTAATTCTTACAGATTAAATGTTAGAAATTTTCTTTGTGTAACCATTATGGTCTTAAAATGTGATTTCTTCCCCTATTCTATTCATCTTTGATTTCTCCGTCTTCCTATTCCTATGCAGTTCTTTTTTTTTTTTAATTATTATTACTTTCACAACTCCCACAACTCATCTGGCCTTCGTTCATTAGTGTTCAAAGCCTCAAATCTGTTCCTGAGATGGTTCTGAAATTCAGGTGGGATAGACTCAAA